TACTATTCTGTACCTAAATGATCATTCCATTACCTTCAGCTCCTCAGTTAAAAACCTTGCCATTTTCATTGAAAATGGCATTGAAACCCTCTCCTGGAATCACCAGATTGTCTACATCTCTCGACGGTCAATTTGTGCCCTTAAACTATTCCATCCCTTCCCCCATCTCCTACCATTACCCACTTGTAAAGCCCTAGTGTTCTTCTTCATCTTCCCTCACTTTGACTATAGCTTCGTGGTGTACGGTGGCCTCTCAGAGGAACTCGTGGACAGAATAAAAAGAATTATAAGGGACCCCAAGACGTTCCTGTATTATCCACTATTATGCCGAGTTAAGGTGGCTCTTTCCCTCCTTTAGAAGGCGTATTAGAAGAAATACTTCCTTGGCACATTGCTTTACCAAATAATCAACAATGATAGCCTTTTCTATGTATAAAATCTCATCATATAATAAAATTTAATCATTTATCCATTCCCTCTCCACAAGATCTCGTCCTGAACTTTACACTCTTTTATTGTCCGTTCCGCTACTTTTTGGAATTCCATCCCGCTTAAAATCTGTCATGCACCATCCTTATCCACATTCAAAACCCTTTTATTCCAATTCCTCTTCAAAATCCAATCAGATGCTGGTTAATTATGTATTGATAAGTATTATTATGTAGTAACAAGGATTATTTTATATATATCTATATTTTTTTTTTTTCATACACCATTACTTTTTATTATTATTTATGAATTCGAAAAGATTCAGTATCACACATAGCACTGTGATGAAGAAAAAAAAAAAGAAATCGTTTGTTGTTTTTATCCATTTTTTTTCTATTGACAAGATTTTATATGTTTGAAATGTATTTAATTTTTTACATTCCTCAATATGTATATATTTTCCCCTCTTAATCTACGTTTTTGTATATAGTTTACAATACTATTGCGAGTATTCATTCTAAGTTCTTAAGTAACATATATAAATAATCTATGCTCTTTTACTTTATTTTTATTTTTTTCCTTTTTAGCTACAATGGTTTTCTCATAAAATTAATTTAATGCCCCTTTCTAATTGTATTTATCTACTTATTCTTATTTTATTTCTTTTATGCCGCGATAACGTGATCTCATTGCTCATCTTCTGTCATTAATATATCTTTCAGTTATGTATATATTTCGTACATTTTAACTATTTATGTTTTAACAAAAAAAGTCAATACTTTTTCCTTTTATTTACTTTTGATAGTTTTTTTTTCTGGAGGTTTTGCTTTCTCTCTCTCTCTCTCTCTCTCTCTCTCTCTCTCTCTCTCTCTCTCTCTATATATATATATATATATATATATATATATATATATATATATATATATATATATATATATATATTTTTTTTTTTTCAGTACAACTATAAGTATTCTTGAGAAGATTTTATTTTATTATTTAGTTGTTTAAATACTATTATTTAAGTTATTGTATATATTATTCGAATCTTTATTAAGTTAATTTTTGGCCAGATATGTATTTTTTCTTTCCTACCTATACTAGGTAAGGAAAGTATTGCAATCGGGTCAAATTTCGGACATGCGGTTTTCGACGGATCTATACGTTTCACAGCCCCCTGAGTCCGAAAAACACATTTTTAGCCATTGATCAGTCTGTCTGTGCCAAGATTTTCTCGGGAACTACTGAACCGATTTTGTTGCTTCTTTTTTTATTTTGTAGGGTTTTGACTACTGATGCCTGTGACAGAAATTCGTTGCTGCATGAGCAATAGCTTGCGCGCAATAAAGGAAAAACATGTTTTTCTATAGACTGTAGCGCGAAAACGGCTCTAACGATTTTGATATAAAAACATATGAAAGATATGAAGAACATATGTAAAGATATAAAAACTTTCTGAAATAGGTAGGAAAGTCGTGTGAGTGGACACTCCAGATTTTTTCTTTTGTAATTGTTCATTATTGTTATTCTTGGGGGACTTGTCCCGGAATAAAGTTTATTTTCTATTTCTATTTATTTATATTTTTTTTTGTTTGGCACTATAGACCATGAACATCTTTGGCCGCGAGTTTTTGTGGTCTCCTTTCAGACTTATATTGCTTGTGGGGGGCACAGACTACCTGGAGGGCATCGCCCAACCTCATGTTGCTAAGAACCATAGTCTCCATGATGCAGTAGCAGGCCACCCCTAGCCTCATAGCCGATCCCTTTGGGGCCAATCTGGCAGTGTCCTTCCCACAGACTTACTTGGGTTCAAGAACAGTGACCTGCTCAGAGTCAGCAGGCGCAGGAGGACCTATATTTCTTTATCCCAAAACCAATTTCTTTATCCATGGACCAAACCTCAGAAAGGTACTGACGTCCTGGTAAACCACATCACGACTCCCGATTTAAGAATACAGAGGAGGGGAGGGTTTGATTACCTACTGCAAGCGCCTTAGTCTGCACCGCAACCCCGGACTCCTATATATATTTATCAACATGTTTATTGAAACACTTTATGGCCATATGTCGTAGCCTAATAAGCCCTGCCGCCATTTCTTTTTATCATAGCAGTCTTCCTCTTGGAGTCCTCTTGCTGCTATTGCCTTAGGTATAACTTCCATCCTCCATCTTCCAGCCTCTTTTCCATCGGTCGTCCGCCATACAGCCATTCGGTGGAAGCTCCGTAGTGATACTCTTTGTCTAACCCCTATAACTCGACAATAGATCATTTTAGAGACTCGAATTTGGTTTCAAATTGTTTGTGTAGTAATATTGAGAAATTTTTGTCATTTCATATTTTTTGGTATCAATAAAGCGGAGTGAGTAAATCAAGCGCGGAGTTTTAAAGAAGATTCTAAATATATTTTCTTATTTTATATGATATATCTAAATGGTTCTAATGTACTATTAATTTTTCATGTGAAATTCAAATTAAAAAAACTTGCGTGTGGTACGTAATCGTCATCAACTTTATTTTCCCTAATTAAGATCCTCATATTTTTTTTCATATTTAGAGTCCAAATCAATTTTCACGAATAATAAACATCTCGCTTGAGTTACAATGTTTAATGACCACTAGAAATGCGAAATTTGAGTAAAACGCAACATTTTCCATTTTTTGAAAGACAACACGTGACGCATTATTTCTATGTAGTTTTTGATGCGGAATCGTGCTGTTATATTATTTTTTTCAAGAAAAGGTGTCTGTTTAAAATAAGAAAAAACAGGTTAAAATACAAAAAGAAGTCAATATAAATTTTTATATTTTAAATAAATATTGATTGATATTGTTAGAAAATGAAATGTTCTTTTCTTTACGAATGTAATCAAAGTCTAAAATTAAAATCTTGACTTTCTAGGTTTCACTGTTATGAAGTTGAGCCGATTTCACGTTCGTTTTGTAGAGCCGTATTTACGTGTTTTTAGAGAGGTTTCTATTCTTCCAAACTCGATATAGTTCCTCGAAAGCCTCGTTGGTCTTCTTTATTCGGTTTTTCACATGTCCTGCTGCTACTTTAATTTATGACCATGCTTTCAAGGCAGTGAAGGAAGCAACCTGTTCTAAAGTGTCGCTGCCCATCAGGATAAGAGGCTCTCTGTTTCGCTCATTCATCCACATATGTTTAGTATTGCCTACCTTGTTTCACAGTCCAAATCGGCTTGCAACTTGGCCAAAGGCTTCCAACTTACAATGCAAATTGCTAAATCTGGGTGCTAAGTCTAAGTCCTTGTGTCTTTCCATTGATCACTGCTGAATTCCGTGGCTTCTTCCACTAAGTGTTAATCCGATTGTATAGCACGTTACAATCACTATTAAATCGAAACCTCTTATCGCCGAAAAGCAATATTTGCGGAAGAATATGATCAAATATGATTCATTGGATCGGCCATCATATTTTATCATATTATTAATCCATATAACCATACCTAAAAAAAAGTGGTTAGTAGAGAACATTCAGCCATTACTTCAATACAATTACCTTTCCGGCCGTAGGATCGACTGTGCCATACCAATGGCGCTACCCCAATCCTCACCATGAATGTAGTATCTTCCAAATCCCAGCCTTTCCATGAGTTCGTCTAGTATGAGTGACATTTCTCCTGCATTTAATCCTGGTTTGGATGAACTGTTGGAGAACCCGAAGCCTGGCAGTGAAGGAATGACCACCTCGAACAAGAAATCGACTTTCGGATGTGGTTTGGTAAGCAACGGGATCATGTCATAGAATTCGCTGGGAATGCTCGGCCATCCGTGGATCACCAATAGTGGTAGCAGTTTTTTACCTGTAACATAGAAGCTTGTTTAAAAATAGTTAAATCAGGGTGGCGACCGACCCGGAAAAATGGGCAAAGTCAAGATATTTTCAAAACAGCAAACAATCAATGACTATTGTTTAGTACGTAATTTTTTTTTAATTGGAACTAAATATACAGTAGTTATCGTTATAATGACCTTGAAGGTGTAAAATCGTCGTTATAAAGGACCACAGTCGCTATACTCATCCACATTCGAAAGTAAATAACGTCACTGGTCGTTATATTGAAATCAAACAAGGGTAATGAATACAATTTAAGCAAAATGGACTTAAAACATAAATTTTTTGAAAAGAAAAACACATCAAGTCTATTTAATATATATCTATGGACATATCTTTTTTTTTATATAAAGTAATGAATGTCTTTAGAGTCCGGTCGAACATCAACTTCTTAAGATAATGCATATGACTTTGTCATGATCATTCTCAAGAACTCTAAAATAACAGTATTGTATCAGGAGTAGAATATTTGCATCCATCCTTACAAAATATTAGTTTGAGGTTCATCGAATGGATCACGAATTGATTTTAAGTATTCTTTAGTCTTTTCGAGTAAAATCTGCCTTGATCCTGATAGGGAAATATTGAGAAGAACCGATTTTGTCATTGGTAGATGGTCTTTTTTTGGATTTAAAAGATACACCACATCTAGCCTGCTGTCTCGAATAGACTTGAAATGTTTTCAAATTGTTGAAAGACACGTTCAACTTCAGTCAGGCTCCTATTGGACTCTTCCCTCTTCAGTGGAATTTTTATATGTTACCAGAAATGTCAAAGTTGGTGTCATATGAGTAGTTATTCTGCTGTTAATAGCCATAAAGAAATTAAATGGCTTATGAGAAACTGCAATAGTATTATAATCCCCCATAGCTCACTTTATTTTATAATTGAGAAAATCAGAGCTTTATATGCCAAGTATCAGCTTTTAGAATAGTGGATTGATAGTTGACTATAATGAAAATTAAAGAGAAGATGTTTGGGGTGTTTAGTAAACAAAAATAAAAATAATATTTAGTTTTGTTTTTGCCAACGTTTCGGCTCAACATTCGGGGCTACTAGCGGATCCAGGATTTAATTTTGGGGGGCTTCAGTCCGAAAGATTTTTTTTCATGAAAATAATGATAATTACTTTGGAAAAAAAGAAAGGAACTAACTACCATTATGAAATGGTGTTTAAGTGATTCATAAAGTACTTTTAAATGTAATTACACAAACAATAATACTTTAAAATATAATTTTTTTCCCATAAAACATGGTTATGTTTTACTATTTTGGAGAAGGGGGCTTCAGCCCCTAAGCTCCCCCCCCCCGATAGATCCGCCCGTGTTCGGGGCTGATCGCACGGAAGGTTTCCTTATAATCTTATGATAACTTTAGTTCTTACTGGAACATTAGTTCATCTTGCAGGAACCATAATTCATCTTATGGGAACCTTATTTTATCTTACGGGAACTTTCCGTAAGATCCGTAAGTTCAGCTCTGACGAAGGCCTGAACTGAACTGAAGCCGAAACGTCGGCAAAACTAAAACTAAATAACATTTATTTATTTTTACTTTTTATTTTATTTTTTACTAAAAACCACTAACCAACTTCTCTTCAACTATCAACTTTTTCCTTATCTCAGTTTATGAAAATAAAATTAAAATGATAAAAATAAATTACTAAAAGTTTAGTTTTCTAAAATAAAAAATCCTAATCAAGATTAAAAAATGTTTCCTCTAAAACATTATATTTGTTATTATTATCATTCTATTGTCAATTTTCTTTTATTTATAATACATTTAGAGAATTCGGGGAAACTTATTATTAAACAGGGAAATGTCAAGGAATTTTACTTTAACTGTTTGGTAGCGACCCTGTGAAGGTATCGTAATTCAAATTCAGACATCCTATATATATATATATATATAAATACAAAAATTCAATACCTTTGACTTGAGAAGGATCAGGTTTCACATGTACAAAATGTAAATCCAAACCTCCTATTTCGGTTATATATTGAGGAAACATGTTCATATGAGCTTCTCTTTCAGTCCAATTATACTCATTAGTCCAGAAGTTCAAAAAATCATTCATATAATGTGTATTGAATCCGTATTTGGAGTCGCTGTTTTCCAGTGGAGGTGACAATAACCGTGTCTCTTCAAGTCTATTTTTCAAATGGATGATATCCTATTGTTAAACAAAAATAATAAAAATAAATAAGTATCAAAAGCAAACGTAATGCTGCATGTGTAACTTATATGATGCAACTTACCGATTCAGGGAAACTGACTCGGAAGGGCCTAATACTGCGGTTATCAGGTTTCTCATCACCAGGGCCCCAGTACTTAAGATGAAGTTGAGGCAAAGGTGGAGGAATCGTGAGGGTGTAAATGTAATAGCCCAACACTACGGGGATGGCTACAATCACAAACCGCCACATCATCCCTGAAATCAATCGTTTTTACTTTATGATTGATAATTCATTCAAGAAAGTATAAGTATTTAGGGGAACTGCCTAAAAGCAATATAAAATTAAGATTAATGTTTAATATATTGAATTTACGATTGATGTTCTGCATCTATCTGTTAGTCTGTTGATTTAAGATGCTATCGCTACTTCTGGTCAGAATCTTAAGGTGCATTTAGACATTTCATAAACTATGGAAAACATAATTATCTAACTTAACTAATAGCGACATTTGCGGTTAGCCAACTAGGGGTGCCCATCCACCCCTCCCCCAATATCAATGGAGCAAGAACCTAATCCCTCCCTCCACCCCAGTTCTAAGATATTTTACAGCACACCTTTTCTTTTAAACAGAGCAAGGGAAAGTAGAATTAGAAAGATATTAGATAATACACAATTACACTTGCTGCTGTCTGTTCCATGGTTTCCCAATGTCCCTTATCCTGAAACTTTTCATTCCGAAAATTCATTACCCAGTTGAAATGTTGCCCCCTAAAAAATTTAAAACCCAGTCAAAATATTCTCCCCTCAATCATTTTTATGGCTCAATTTGAAACTTCCTTCTTGGCACCCCTGAGCCCATTTTTTTTTTCATTTCTCTTGTTACCGGCATCAGATAGAAATTAAAAAAAAAAAATCTTTTTATTGAGAAATAATACATTTTGCCACATTTAAGGGCACTGAGTACTAAAGCTGAGTGAGGCCCATTCATACTATATATACAATACAATAAAAAAAAAAAATAAAATAAATAAATAAAAAATAAAAATATATATCTATATAACAAAAGTAAAAACTATAAAGCCAAAGAAATGTAACTTGAAATCAAATTAAAAAAAAAAAAATACAGAAATTGGTAGCATATTAAATAAGTCATAAGTAAAACAAATAATTATATAAAAAAGAAAAACATTCATACTTAAAGAAAAAAAAATTAAAAAAGAAGAAATAAAAACACCAGCAAAGAGAAAAACCATTTAAATATTTGTGTTTTCATAGTTGTTGGTTGGGGCAAGAGATGCCCATCCTCCTCTCAAGACCGATGGCTCATAAACCGTCCCCCACCCCTCCCAAGATATTTTATTCATCTCTTCTCCTTAAAAGCAGTGCTAATGAAAGTAGAATTTGAATATTCGTAAATTATATACAATTACACACAATTTTGTTCGTTCCATGCTTCCACTTGTCTTTTAATTTCAAACTTTTCATTTTGAAAATTCATAACCATGTCGAAATGTACCCCCCTCAAAAATTAAAAACCCGTTAAAAAGTGCCTCCCTCATAAATTTTGATGACGCAACTTGCGCCCTGAAATCCCCTTCTGGGCATCCCTGGATGCAGCTTTAGGGTGTAAGACTTCAAGATCATCAACGCCATTTTCAATGTCATCAACGGGTTCTCCATAGTTTGTGAAGTGTCTAAACGAACCTTTAAAGTTTTTAGTAGTTCAATTTTCAGTCAGATGATGCTTGAATTGGCTAAACGTAGATGGAGTTCTACAAACGTTACTGGGTCATCCTGAGCAATAACGGATTCAGAATTTAATTTTTGGAAGATTCTTCTATTTTTTCTTTGCTGAAATTTACTTGAAAATATTATTGATTTTCAATAAGATATGCTCTTCCTCCTTTTTCTATGATTTTTAAATGATGGTATTTATTTTTTAAAATGCTGATCAATTTCATGGCCAAAGATAAGGTAATGAAAAAATTAACACAATTGACCTTAAAAAATATCTAAGCTTGATTTTTACTAGAAAAAATGTTAGTACAAACGATTAGGCTACCTACAATATTTCAAGGAACTTTCCCAATTCGGTAATTTATTATGTACCAAAATAAAATACATGTTTTATAATTTGTATCTCGGAAAGAAAATACAAATACATCTTTTGTATTTTGTATTTTAAAATTTAATTCTTGAAATGCAAAATGCAAAAAAATATATTTCATTTCGCATTTGAAACATTTTGTTTGAAATAGCGCCCAGTTATCTATTGTACATCTGTGGTACTATTTTATTTTCTGAGATTGGTTTCCAATCTGGAAAAATATTTTTCCTTTCTTTTCACTTACTTATATATGGTAATTGATTACTGCAGAAAAGTTTTGCGATCGTGATAAATTTCGAATGTGATTAATTTCGTGTAAATTAAAGTTTAAAGAATGTTTTGTCTTTTCAACGAAAGCACATGATTTAAGGTTCTCTGAGTGAGTGTGTATATGGGGAACTGCTTAGTTCAAAAATCCCAAATCTTAGGAAACTGATATTATGATTACCTTAGATGTTACAGCAAATTTTTCGCCTTAATTTATAATTGTAAAATCGTTGTTATAAAGTGCCACTTCCAGTTATTTGGGAAGAAAGAAAAAAAAATATCGATATTTCGCGTTGTTTAAGAAATATAATTTCTACAATAAAGCTATAAACATTGGTGGTTCTCACAAGAAATATTGATAGAAGGTGAAATATTGAGACTTTTGTTTTGTTTAATTTTTCGATTGCAATGAAAATTCTTTTTTTGGGGGGGTGGACGGTGGTTCGAGGATCCCTGTTACTCTTACAGAAGATAAAGAGAGATGGTTGGCGGCTGTTGAGCAGGCCAAGGGCAGCTTCATGCACCTGTTGTGCCAATAAAACAAAAGGAGGTTTCGAGGTGTAGAAAACCAATATCAACTTTGTTTATTTCTCAAAAATATTTTATGGTATTCCGATGCGTTTATCGTGTATAATGAATGAATGAAAAATGAAAATACGTTCTTAGTATCCTGGGACTGTTGTCCCTTTAGGACAAATTATAGTTACAGAAGAAATGCCTGTGTGGCTATACATTAAATTATATATTTACAAATCTCATTAAAATAAAAATATTAGAAGATGAGAAAAACGAAAAAATAATAAAAACTTACTGATATATATAAAACAAACATAGGAAAATAAAATAACACAAGTGAACAAAATCATTTCTGGGGGAACTTAAAAAAGTTCTCTTATCTACACTTCGTGATCAATCGGGTTGGGAAAGGAGTAGGTGCTTAAAAAGGAGAGATTTAAATCAGGAAACTGATCGTGCATGTCGGATAATATGTACAATACGTGTTTTATTCTTATTTTCGGAACTAATATGGGAAACAATTTTTGTGCATGCAATCGTTCTTTAGATATTCATCCAGTATAGAAAACAAAAATTTACATATTAATAGGGTGTATAAAAAAAAAAAAAAAATGGACCGTTTTTCAACCGAATATTTATATTATTATTTCTTTGATATAAAATACAATTAATACTCAAAGTATAGTTTATTGTTATCTACCGCCAATAGCCATCTGCTAGCCAATTGCTCGTTCTCACGCTGATACCATTCTTTGAGCTGGCTGTCAAAGAACTATTGAACCGCAATTTCAACTTCCGCAAAATTATCAATTTCTTTCCCTTGAAGAAAATGTGCCATGGATCTAAATAAGTAATAATCCGATGGTGCGAGGTCTGGACCATATGGTGGATGAGACGGGAGTCGCTTATCATTGAAGGATTTTTCACAAATTTCTAACCTCTTAACTGATTTCTGAGGTGTAAGTTTCTGAGGGATCAATCTACTGCTCTTTTTCACCTTCCCTATGGAGAGTAGATTAACAGTATCTTTCCACACACCACACTCCCAGGCAGGTTCGCGTACATGATGACGGATTTGACTCAACAGCTTCCTGCAGAACTTCGTCAATATCCATTAATGGTCTTCCGGAGCCGTTCTTCCTTTCCATGTCGTATTACCACTGCTGTTTTTTCAAACCAACGCCACACATTGCGCTGGTCAAGGACATCTTTCCCTTCATATTTAATGGACACTGTCACGTTTCTTCTTTGAAACAAATAACTAAACTGAGGCTTTTTTTGAAGAAGTCGAATGGGATTAAACAAGTTTAGAGAATACTCTAAAGGGATTATTAAGTATTAAATAGGATACAAATATTTTCAGGCCTTTGAAATCTTGAATTTGATAAAACGATCATTTTGTTGTTATACACGCTGTTAGTATAGCTTTGTATGAGGATAATATTGAAGAAATTCGTACCGAATAAAGTAGTTAAGTGGACTCAAATATTTTTTTATGCAGACACTTAGTTGAGGTTTGTATTTCGCACATAGAAAAGTCCTTAAATTCAAATTTTCATAACAATCGAAAAATAAAAATGTTTTGCTTAAAACTTTTAAAGACTTGCGATGTTTAAAAAAATTAACAAAAATTGTAAAGTTGACTCCATTTATCCACAAGAAAATGTGATTTTGTGCCTTATAAAGTACACGAAATGGCACGTATGAGAATTATTATATTATTTGTAACTTACACAGGCGTTTAATTTTAGAAGTTATTTATATGTTTTGGGAGAGAAATAATCCAGCTTTCTAATTGTTGAAGTAAAGTTGAATTAGGGGAAAATTCTGAAGAGTCACGAATGCTTTAGTAAACGTCATGATGAAAATCCTCCCTATAAAATCAAGGCCAAAACATCAAAACTAATTTGCTTTTAAGAGTTTTGAAGGACAACAAAAATGAATCTGAATCATTTCTTATGGCAAAAATTTGCATGGTATACGTTACAAGAAGTATTTGTCGTCATTTGTTTTTTGTATTTGTTTGTACACTTGAATTTGTTTATTACTCTTTGACAAGAGTTAAGAGTCGGACAATTTAAGAACCCTCGTTCATTGGTATAATTTTTTTCGACCTATCATTACCAAAAAGTATTCATTGAAATCGGTGTCCCCTCTTCCGTAACCTCTCCTTGTTAGCGAGCCTCAGTTTGAATTAATTGAGTGAGAATAAAAGTCTGATCTTCAGTTTTGCTGCCGTAGTAATTAATGAATTGAGAAATGCAAAAATATCCTATCCAACCTATGGTCACATCTAATACTTCTCTCGGGCTTTTATTTTATTTATATTTTATTAAAAGCTTCAATCACTTGTGTCATTATTGCCTTATTTTCATTAAGAATTATATTCTATTGTCAAGTTCTGAACATTTCAGAAAATAAAAGAGTTTGTCAACTTCATTTATATTGTCCTGTAAAATGGTGTGAAGATTGTTTGTCTAGTCAGATAGTCTAAGTGTTTTGTAACCTCGCCATTCTTTTAAAATGTGATTCACTGTCAAGTTTGGAATGTTGGCAAAGAATCACGGGCCATGAGGTACGTATAATAAAATAATTCTTGATTTATCATGCCTGAAATATTTTTCCCTTGCAGTGAAGGAGCCGGCCATCATGCAACGAAAACTTGTGAAACTCGTTATATTGCACTTTGAAGGTCTTCTCCAGAAGTCAGACAAGATACAATTATAAGATTCTTCTAAATAACTTTTTCATCCGTTAGGTAGTCAAGATTTTATTGCTCTGATTAGGGAAATTGTTCAATTAATTAGTTTTTCAAATGTGCCGGACATAGAAATTGTCCGTTACAGTACTACCCGCATATAGGCATTTTCCTTTCCTACGTATTTATAACCAAGGCAATTTATAATTGCATGTTATCATTTTTTATTTCAATAACCATTACATTTTTTTTTAACTCGAATTCACCTCATTATCCTTGTATCATATATTTCATGCCGGAATATTTCAAAGCAACATAATTTAAACATTGTTTTGCCTATGAAGTTAAAGAACGAATCATTACACAAGAAAGTCACTTGTATTTAATTTTTTTTATATGACCTCCATTGTAGAAATATTTCAATTTGTATGAGGGTACTGAATTATGGA